AATAAAGATAAAAGCATAAATTAATGAGTTAGAAACCAGAAAAGGATAATTACTAATAAATAAATCCTAAAGATGAATCTTTGGGGAAAGGGGATAGATAGTATCATTAGCTAACTAACCTAATGAAGAAAAACAGGAAAAAGAGCACAAAATATACAATATAAGAAATAAGGGTGAACTCATCACTTAAGAGTTGTAAAAATTATTTAGTTCAAACTAATACAAGTCAATCTGAAGACCTGGATAAAATGGATGCTTTTCTAGAGAAACATAATTTACTAAAGTCATTCAAAAAGCAGTAGAACAATCAAACTAATTATTAGTGAAGAAATAGCATTATCAAAGAGCTACCCACTCACCCCAAATAACTGCACTAGCCCAAACAGGTTCATGGAGGATCAACCAAACTTTTAAGGACAGATAATTCCATGTCTATTTAAACTGTTCAAAGCAAAGAGAAAGAAGGAAAGCCTCTATTTTCTTCATGATGTGAGTGCAACATAGGAAAACCCAAACAAAATTGTTCCAAAAAAAGAAAACCAAAGAACAATCTCTTTGACGAGACTGAGGCAAAAATCCTAAATAACAAATCCAATCCAGCAGTATATTTTAAAGAAATGTTTACCATGACCAACTGGGGTTTAATTTGGAATGCAAGGATAGTTCAATATTAAGAAATCTATTATTCATATTAATTCACAAATGGGAAAAAATGTGATCATAAACACTGAAAAGTCTTTCGGCAAAGTTCACCTTCCATTCTTGATTTTTAAAATCCTCAACAAAACAGGAATAGATGGAGACTTATTTAACCTGATAAACTATCTGCCCCAAAGCCAGAATTTGCTTAATGGGAAAATCTAGAAGCTACAAAGCAAGAATGTCTATTATCACCACTATTATTGTTTCATTGTTCCAGAAATAGTAGCCAACTATTAAATAAAGAAATTAAGGTATAAAACAAAATGGGGGGTAAATTTATCATTTGTAAACCATATGATAGAATAACTGGAAAACCCAAGCACCTAAATTGAAAAACTGTTAGGAACAATAAAAGAATTCAGTAAGGTGGCAGAACTTAACAGCCTTCATATAAGCAACCTTCATTTGTGGAAGACAAGACTAGCTAAAAAAGCTAAACTATCCAGAAATAAACTTAACCAAACAATGTGCAAGATTTCAACCAGGCAAATGTTAAAACATTCCTGAGAGACATGAAAGAGAAGTGTATCATGTTTTGGTGGGAAAGGCAGCATCATAAAAGTGTCATTTCTTCCTAAATTCATCTGTAAATGTAATGCAATCCCGGTAGAAACACAAATAGGATTTTTGTTTTGACCTAGATAAATTGATTCTATAGTTCAGACAGGAAAATAATAAAAGAGCCAAGGAAATTTGGGTAGAGGGTGAGAACAAGGAGCAACAACCTCTACCAAATACTAAAATGTACTACATGGCTGGGCACGGTGGCTCATGACTGTAATCCCACCACTTTGGGAGGCTAAGGTGGGCGGATCACCTGAAATCAGGAGTTCAAGGCCAGCCTGGCCAACATGGTGAAACCCTATCTCCACTAAAAAATACAAAAATTAGCCAAGTGTGGTGGGGTGTGCCTGTAATCCCAGCTATTCGGGAGGCTGAGGCAGGAGAATCGCTTGAACCTGGCAGGCGGAGGCTGCAGTGAGCCAAGATTGTGCCACTGCACTCCAGTCTGGGAAACAGCGAGACTCTGTCTCAAAAAAAAAAAAAAAAAAGTATTACAGGTTGAGCACCCCAAATCTAAAATCCAAAGTGCTCCCAAATCTGCAAGTTTTTGACTGCTGAAATGCTCATTGGAGCATTTCAGATGCTCAACTGGTATAATGCAGATTTTCCAAAATTCAAAACACTTTGGTCTCAAGCATTTCCGGTAAGGGCTACTCAACCTGGATATATACATGCTGCAACACAGATGAACTTATGTTATTCTAAGTGGAAAAAGTCAGTCACTAGTCCAGAATAGGAAAATTGTAGAGAAAGGGGAGGGGGTTGGTGGGGAGAGATGAAGTGACTACTGATGGGTGTCGGTTTTCTTCTTGAGGTGATGAAAATGTTCTAAAATTGACTGTGATGATGGCTACATAATGCTGTGAATATACTAAAAATCATTGAATTGTACACTCCAAATTGGTGAATGGTATATGAATTATATTTCAATAAGGCTTTTTAAAACAACATAATAATTAAAACAGTATTGCACTGATACTTGAATGTATTTGGATCCATACCTCACGCTTTGTACCAAATAAAATATAGGTCATACAGAGATCATACCTTTTTTTTTTTTTTTTTTTTTTTTGA